TATATGAATATGTTGGTAGTTTTTCCCCTTAATTCATTAAATGCTAGTGAAAAGGAAGCAAACAGTAGTTGTAGCTAAGCTAATTATGCTAAATGTTTGATAATCTCACACAGTCTACCCACCTCTCTCAGAGAAAACCTGGGTTATAAATGAACACTCTTGCCTTTTTCTCTCTCTCCCTCTCATTGAATGCATTCAATGCATTCTCACTGATAACAGTAACTGAAACTTTATTGTCTTCCAAATCTTCATGTTTTAAAAGGTTGGTATACCTTCAAGCTGAATCAGGCCATGCCAACAGATCAGACATTTTCAAAACCAGGATGTAAACTTTTCGTTTACTGAACAACACACGGCGCTGATTTCAGTTCACGAAGGCCATTCAGCCTCCTGCAGCTGTTTCCAGTTCCTCCGGCTTTTACATAATCAGACTGTAGGTGAGCTGAACTCCGCTGGCATTGACCTTAAAGAGCTGTGCGGTTCAACAAAGAGAGCTTCAGTTTCTACATCAACTCATACACCTGCAGGTTTATAAATGTCACATCTCACTGCTTAGGCTGCAAGAAAATAAATACCGGGCTGATTACAATGTTGAAAATCAGGAGATGAACTCTATTGTCATGTTAAGTTTGTTTAAGAGGAGCAAAGTTAAAGTGAAGAAAAATGTAAAGCCTCTGGAATCTTGACAGCAGCAGTTTTATCAAGATTTTCATATTTTTTTCTTACCATTTAAGGTTACAGCAGATAATATATTCTGTGCAACATGAAGTCTATAAAAATTGTGGAAATGTTATTTGGAATTGCAATGGGTTCTTTTTTTTTATTATTTCCTTTAACAAAAAATATATTTTAAAATGTCTATTTTATCCTGGTTTTCATTTTATTGGAATGAAAGTGAATGTTCAACTACATATTTAAACCCTGGAAATACACCAACTACACTTACAACTACAAAAATCATGGATAGCAGCATCACTAAAAGGAAAAGGAAGAAGAACTCTGTGACATATTTATATCAGAAATATGTGACATAAAGCTACGGCTCACCTGTTGAGCTGAAGGACCAGGTGATGTTTAGGTTGAAGTTGTTGGAGGCATTGATGGACATCTCCAGGTTTTTGTTGGCCTGAACAAAAAAAATGCAAAAGATGTTTTAGTAAGCTGTTGTTCCAGATGTGGCCTTGAATTTGATTGTTCCACTTCAGACAAAATAAGATGAGTGTTTGTCATCAGTTTGCTTTCTGTCTGCAGTGTTATAATGAAATTTGGATTTGAATAGTCTTTTGATGAGGAAAAACCCGTTCCCATATTCTTCAAAAATATCTTTGGCTTAAATGGAACATTTTTGTCACGACCCCATTTTCTATTTGACCTATGAACTTTTCAACTGGACTGAAAGAGAAAATTTGCTTTGAGAATTAATTAACCGAAACTTTGTGTTTGTAGAAACTAGCTGTGTTTCTATTATAAATGTGCACAAAACTTTGTTGATATTCCTCGAAGGTTGAAAAAATATAATTTTGCATTTGTGGTGTTTCCATTAAATAAGAAGCGTAATTAAAATCACACATGAAAAAGTTTGTTCACCCTATAAGTCATTAAAAACAGGTAGCACTAACACTATCCTACCACTTCCTGTCATCTTCTTCATCATTTCTGCCAGTAGGAGCATCCAGTTGTTGATCATTTGACTCGTGTGATGTGAAAAAACGGTTTCCTATGTAGCTGAAATTCTATCGCAAAAACTTAAAAAAAAAGAAAAATATGTTATTTTTGTTGCTGTGTTTCCATTAAATTAATTTATTTTCATAATTCCAGTTTGCACAATTGTATGACCAATGGAAACGCAGCTAATGAAACATAGTAGCTGATATAGTAGTCCTAAATACCTGTTCTGGTGTGGCCACAAAGTTGATGGCGGTGTAGTGGCGGTCATCCTCCTGAAGCAGGCTGAAAGTAAACTGGTAGTCGATCAGCAGGTTGTCTAAGAAACAAAAAGAACTCAGAATGAGTTCAACAAGCGCCACTTCAGGACCAAAACCGATACTTTTGTTGTGTCTGATCTCAAGTATCCACTCATTCCACTGCAATACAAGCATTCCAAATATAATTTCCACCCCAATGTACTTCATTAAAATCCTTCACAGAAGCAGATTTATGAGAGAGCAAAAATGTGCTGTTGGCCACAAGTCAATATTCAATTAGATGACTAAAGCTACAGTGGTTGAGTGTTTTGGTAAATGATCACAATCTGTGACAAAAGTAAATACTGTTGAAGGAGAACGCAAACAGATGTTTTCTAAATGTGAACTTGAGGAACTTCACCATGCCCGTCTGCTTTCTCAAACAAGCGTCCAGATAGATCAATAAACTAGATCAAGATTCTTAAATAGTCATGTCTTTGGAGTGATTTTTATCATTTGTGAAAGCAGCTCCACATTAGTGTCTGGGGCTGCTTTGCTGCCAGAGAAACAATGAGGAGAGTACAGAATGAATTGTAAGTAATTCAACCTCTGGATGAACAGCAAAAGCCTCCCTGGATCACCATGTCCACCTGCTGGAAGTGAGGGAGGTGGTGGAGGGGGTTAGTGGGGTAAGACCAGGAAGGACAAAGGCAGAGAAGAAGTAAGATGAACTCAATCTAAAGGGATGGCAGCTGTGTGGCCTGGTAACGGGAGGAAAGAAGGGTTTTTTTCTGTACAGTAGCATGGCTGCTAACTCCTAGCATGTTGATCTCAAAAAACACACTTCATAGAGTGAGTTAAGATGCAAAGCTTAGCCAAAATGCTGTCAACAACATTTGGCTCATCACTAGCATGTTGACTAACAGAGACTTACTCCATTCAGCATGTAGCTTAGCTTTATTTAAAAATCAGCTAAAATGTGTTTAAATGTTACTTTAATGACGAATAGGGACTTAATCCATTCACTGTGAACATTAGCGTATATGTCAAAATTAGCTAATAGCTAAGCTAATTTTGTGAAAATGTGTCCACCCAGGTGAAAAATAAATATACTAAGTAAAATTTTAGCATACTTGAGCATACTTTAAGTCAGACTAAGCATACTTCAAGTTGAAGTGTTATATTTTGGAACAACTAATTTTGTGCTTAGTGTGTTTTACTAGTAATTAAATTGTAGAAAATCACAATTTGAAGTGTACTTTGTGTACTTTCACATACTTTTTTGGAACAACTAAAGTTATACTTTGTATACTTTAAGTATACAGCTTTCTATGTAATATAAACGTGCTTGAAAAGTATATATTAAGTGTACTATTTTTGTGATTGAATTACATTTAAAATATATTTAGAATATCTTCTAAGTATATAAGCATTACCGGTACATATTTTATATATTAGTAGTGTGATTACAGTATGCTACACTTACTCTTTTGGTTTAACATAATTGCTAATTAAGTACACATTTTAGTTACTTATTAATGTCTTTTATTATTATTCTTTGCCACGTTGTACATTACATGCTTCATACACACTACAGTACACAGAAGGATCAATTACAACACACTTTCTGGCTGAAAAAAATTACATTATGAAGTCAATATATTCACATTTTACAAGAGTGCATTGCCAATATACTATCAGAGAACTGTACAAATTGTCAATATATTAAAAGTTTACAGACAATATGCTCATGAAAATTTGCATAATAAAACAATATTGTCACTTTAGAGGAAATGTGAAAAACATTTCACCAAGGACAGAGTATTGTTTTAATACAATGCCACAGTATTCCAGTATTACTCCAGACAAACTGACATTTCTCCTTCCCAAGAACAGTGAGGATCAATGACAGAAGATTCCCATTCACTGCACAACTGTACTTAACAGAAACCTACAATAAGAACAATTGAGCAATTAAACAGAAAAAGCACTAGTAGTTTTAAGAGTAAAGAAAAATGGCAAAGAAAAAAATATGATTTACAATTTTTAGACATGGACTTTGATTGATTGGGACCAGATGCCTTGAGTGAAAAAAAAAAATTCTGGGTGGCTGGTGGTACCCATCTCCAGCAGTCATTGGGCGAGAGGCTGGGTTCACCCTGGACAGGTCACCAGTCCATTACAGGGCCCTGAAAGCTAACAATGAATAAAATGCATGAAAGAGAAATGGCAGATTAACAAGGCAAATACATTCTGTCCAATTATTTTAAAATCAAATCATGTTTATTAATCACTTAGTGTTGGAAACACACCAATTTGTACTGCTGTTAAAAATGTAGCCAGCTGCTCAGTGTAACACAAAAAACAGCATACCTTATACCATGAAGACGTTGTGGAAATTCATCCTCAAAACTGGGGTAATAATCCAGTGGAGCCAGAGCCTCTTCTGAGACAAAAACGTATTTAGGTTTTTCATACTGATTTGCTTAAACTGCAAAAATATGTTGAAGATAAAAACGATAATGAACGACTTATAACAACAGCCTCACAATATCAAAGTCTCTTTGGCATACTGAGCTTAATTAAAACCAGGTTAAGTTAATGAAGAAAACTATATTAAGTGACAGCAAACAGAGCCTCCATGCAGTTATAACATGCAGTTGAATGATTGTTATAATAATCATAAAAATCACAATAAAATTGATAAATTACTATTTCTGAAACCAACGTACGTTTGTTTATACATTTACTGCACTTTTTATAATTAAACTAAGATAATTAAGATTTTGATGCAAACTTACCACCAGCTAGCATCACATCAGCAGCCTTTGTCCCTTCAGGTTCCTTTCGTGACCCATATTTAATTTCCATCCAGATCTTGTCCTGTTGTCTAACTCAGACTAGGACGTCATCAACTTAAATTTACTAAAACTACTAACTCTTATCAAGGCTCTCTCTACTTGTTGCCTCAAAACTTTTGAGGCAACATTGGGTGACTAAAAATGGTGAATTTGAACAGCATATCTAATCCTTTTGTGTGATGTTCTTTTTATGGTGTTTTTTTTTTTTTAAATGAAAGTGTGCATTAATACCATCTGGTCTGGAGTGTGAACTGGAGCTAATACTGTTCACTAATTTTACATCATACATCTGAAAATGGATTGGGCAAAAATAGCTTCTGTGTTTTAATTAAAAAACTGAAAACAACAGATTATATTTGAGAGATGTAAAACTGGAGACACCTGCTACATTTAGTGTTAAGGTCAAGTACTGTTTTTGTTGTAGAACCTCTGTCACTAAACTGTCAATGTTTGATGTTTTGAAGCATGAACACTTTATTTACTTTGTTAAACAACATTACATCAAGTTCCACTATAAGGATTGTTTTTTTTTTATTATTCTTTGCCATTTTAACAAAATAGTAAAAGATTATTAAGGCACCAAAAAAGGCATACTTCATTAGCCTAAAATATACACTGAGATGTAACATATTTAACATACTGAAATTTCAGTAGATTTAATAGTTTGCTTTTAAAGTAAGCTTTAAATTAATTTAAAAAAATTCTATTTTGAGCATATATTTTAAAATATACACAAAATATGATTAAAATCATATTGTTTCATTGGTGCACTGAGGGTTCTTACATAAACCAGCCAGAGAGACGCTGAATGGAATCCAAAAATAATCTTAATTTATTACAAAAAAGTTAAAAAATAATTAAACAATGAAGAACTGGGCCCAAAAACTGAGGTCAACATAACAAACTACAACTCAGGTAGTAACACAAAGAACTCAAGCTCAAAACTGACCTAACAAACAAGACATGAGGGGAACTTAAATAGTGGCTGATCAGACCACTGCTGACACACGAGGGGTAATTAAACATACAAAAACTTAAACAAATACTAATCAATATAATACCAAATCTTTAAATTAAACAAACATTAGAATGAAACTACCAAATAGAAGAAACATTAAAGAAATGGTCAAATTAAACTAAAGAAAACCAAATTTCCCCGTCCCCTGACAAACAAATGGAACGGCCCGCTGAGGAGGTTTTGCCAGCCATATATGGATGTCAATCAGCTGGAGCTCTTCTGTGACCCTCCAGCAGCTCCAAAGGAAACTGGTAACTCAAACAAATAAATGTGTTGCATTTAACAAAAATATAAAGAACTGACAAATAAAGTTAGCTAAATGTGTGCACTCCAGATAGTCAACTGAAAAGTCAGACTAATGCAAATAATTTTTTAATAAAAATCTAAACTATTCACTAATTAATGTCTAAATTAATGTAAAGGATAAAACAAACAAAATGATTACCATTCAGGTCTGTGTGACAGTAGGGTCAGCTGTCACACAGACCTGTGTGCTCAAATATGTATTGAGCAAATACATATTTTGTTCACTTAAAGTCTACTTTTATTTAATATATTTATTATAAATGTATTGTGGTACCATTATATTCAAATGTGTTTTAAAGTTATAATGTCAAAATTGGTACAAGCATGTTGTTAGTATACTTCACATATGTAGTACACTTAATACTTAGTATGAAAATGTACTTACAAAAATATAAGTATGTTTTAAATATACTAAGGTATTTATTTTTTCACCTGCAAACATATACAGCAGAACAGGCAGTAGCTTTTTATTTTTATCTCTGACAAGCGTTCGTGTTCTCCTACTATTTTCACAAGTTTAACCTTCCAGCCCCAGTTCAGTCCAGGCCAGTTTCACCACAGATTCTGAGAAATTTGACCTAACTTTACAACGATTCGCTTTCCAGCTTCACTCCTAGCATTTATGATACATCACTCCAGTGGCTGATATTTATCAAACCTGAAAGTAATAACTATATTTGTTTGCCAAAAAAGTAAAGTTTGCCAGTAAAAGTCTTGACTCAGCTGGTTTGGAAGGTTAGTTAAAACGTTACATTTTCCAGCCCATAAAACATCTTTCCAGGAAGACGATATAATAAAATTTTGGGATAGATTTGTGCTCACTAAAATGTAATGTGAGACAGCAGTTAAGTACTGCTCAATTCCTTCTCATGAGGCATATATAAAGGGAAAATAG